GCACGAGAAGTGCAAAAACGCATAATCGCACCGGCCCGCCTGGTGCGTTCCAGCCTGGGTTTTTTACTTTGAAACAGACCATGAAAGAGAGAACTGCTGGAAAGCTGGGTGGGCATGAAGCCGCTATGGTTAATATCATTGATTCCAAAAGTTGTTAATTGCTTATTAAAGGGAAATCGTAGGAGGAATTGGAGAATTATTTTTGGGCAGCGTTAGAGGAACTGGCACTGGTGCTTACTCTTTTAATGGATCAATATGCCTGATGCAAAATGATGCGTGATAAAGAGCTGCCGGTAAGAAATCAACTCACTGCATAGTAGCACAAATTTTCGGCCGGATACCATATCCATTCTCGCGGACATCCTGTAAAACGACCTCGTCAGTTGCGAAATTTCAACGCGATTGCTTTGTTTAGCTACAATTCATAGTAGGCTCTAGTAAAAAACTTGTAATATAATATTATGAAATAAAATGGGATGATGAGGCACAGGTCACTGTAGAAAACGTACTCATTCGCCCCCGAAGCTAGCGCTTGACCCAGAGATAATCAGCGGATCGTGGCTGAACGATGCAGTGACTGGCCTTGGTAAAGCGGGAGGCTATACCCAATGGTTGACTGCCCGAAACTGTGCTTCATATTGAACTAAGTAAATAGCACGATCAGGATGAGATGCCCAGAATTTCTTGAGCCCTGGTCTTCCTACTTTTTAAGCATACTCCACAAACTCGGCTCTCTAGAAGCTGATGTTTCCAAGCGGTACTTCAGTAACCTAATCAACAGCACGAGTGCCACTTTCTTATCAGCAGCTGTCGGATCCGCCAAGAAATCAAACAATCAAGAGACTGCCGTGAATCCTCACACATATGCATGTATCTCTGTATAGCTCCCGACGATACTGAATGATGTATAATGCCGACGAGCTCGCAAAGACCGACTGACTAGGAATGTTGACGAAGCCCGTCTGACCTCGATTTGTCTGTTCTCCTCCTTTTAGACCTATCCCCTGATGTGTCTGCCCTTTCCTCCTTTCACGACGAAGTGGTTTACAACTCCCCGTAAACTCGATACATTATTGGCGGTGTCTCCTTTAATGCGTCTGTCGGAGATATCACACGAACAATTTAATCTGTTTATCAGCACTAGAATGGGGACAGGGAGCCTTCTTGATTTTTGTGTCTACAATATCTGAACATATATTAAAAACATCCAACTTTCTGAAGTATAATACCCCTCCAAATGTAAGATGGCTTATATTCTCAACGTAGCTGGCAAATGTCAAATTTCACTATTTACAGTTCAGCGCTTTGTTCTCCCCATTCATCTTCTGCTGATTTTCACTAATAATACCACAGACACCACGTTGACGCGGTCGAAGCTGTGGCGCTAGAATTTATGGGTTACTACTGAAACTTGGCTTGGTTAGACCGCATAGTTCATTCGCGTGTTCGCATTCAAGCAAAGAAAAGCGTATTCGCACACAAGTGCACGATTTTTTCTTTCGCTGTTGTAGGAATATCTAGTACAAGCTTACCAGTTTTGCTCCTGCACCTAACTGCATGCTTAGCATATAAATACTTCTCCTCCTCTGCCCCATAATCCCCACCTTACTGTCTCCAACATTTGCCTCCAACGAAAATCCTACCTCATTTCTAGTCATTATTCACGTCTTCCTCCTCCTCCTTCAGGGCTTCTTGGAGCCTGAGCCGAGACAAGTTTTCGCAAATGCTATTTTCGACAAAGCAATAAAGTTATTTAGAGTGAAGATCGGAATCGTTTAGTTAAGCCCGAACTTGCTGTTTCTGCTGGGGACATTGTCGGTGTAGTCACATTTGGCGTCCAAACTGGAGTTGTTGTTGTTGACGTGTTTGTGGTCGGTGTTGTTGTACATGACGTGGATGTGTTTGATGTTGTTGTACTTATTGTGGACGTGGTTGACGATGTTGTTGTTGTTGTGTTTGTGGTCGGTGTTGTTGTACATGACGTGGATGTGTTTGATGTTGTTGTACTTACTGTGGACGTGGTTGACGATGTTGTTATTGTTGTGGTCGTGGTTGATGATGTTGTGACTGTTGTGGTTTTAGTTATCGATGTTGTGGTTGATGAGGATGTGACCGCCGTTGTTACGGTTGTTGTTGTCGATGTTGTTGTAGTTGTGGAAGTTTCTGACGATGTCGTATTTGTTGTAGACGTGGCTGGCGCTGTAGCAGTTGTTGAGGACATGGTTGACGGTATCGCGGTTGTTATACATGCTGTCGTTGTTTCAACAACAGGTGTTGTAGACGGCGTTGATAAGCTTGCTGAAATTTTAGTTAGAATTAAGCTGAAACACAGAGCTCACTACTCACACTGTTGCGATCGGAGCTTGAAAACTGTTTTTATGCGTTTTTGCTTATATGCAAATTGCAAAAGCGCATGTTGCGACGACCCTGTCTGCATGTGTATGTATGTGTGTTCGTCTGTTCGGGTATTTCAACTCGGCAACCAAGCAAGTTACAGCGCCGAGATTTTGCTAATGGGTACCCCGACCAAGTACCACCCCAGAATCGCGGTACCATCCCCCACGCACGTGTGGGCCCCGCGTACGAAGGTGGGAAAGTTTTGGCGGGAAAATTCACAACTCGAGAACGATAAAAGATAGAGAGCTGAAATCTTGAGGTTACGTTCCCCGTCCAGATATAACTCAAAGATTTCAAATTCAGCCCTCAGGTGCGCGTGACTCTCGCGTACGGCCCGGTGAGATTTTTCGGCGGGAAAATGGCTAACTCGGGAGCTAGCAAAGCTGGGAAGCTGAAATTTTCA